TCATCTCTTTGTAATCGGCAATTGTCTATATGGTTATAGGGTGGGGATCTCAACTGTTTCCAAGCTGTGACCAAGAAACAAGGTCCTTAGGGGTTCGGTCAGACCCCAGGGTCTATTCTAATATTGTGACTGCATTCGTCTCTTTATGCCCAGCATTTGTATATATAGTTTTTGAGTGGGGATCTCAGCCGTTTTAAAGTTATGGCCCAAGGACTATGTTTCCAAGGGTGGGGCCAGACCCTAGGGCCATCCTGGAAACCAATGTGCATTCTTCTCTTTATACTCAGCAATTGTATATGTGGTTATATGGTGGGGATCTCAACCATTTCCAGGCAATAAACTTTTTTTGGCCCCACCCCTTAGCCCGGGGGGTCAGCCCTACCATTTGTACAATTTTGAATCCCTGCCTCCCATGAATGCTTCCGACCAAATATGATCGATATCCATGGCATAGTTTTACAGAAGAAGTCGTTTATAGCAATCTAGCGAAATTGCCCCCTGTTGGCCCCGCCCTCAGCCCCACCATTTGTACAATTTTGAATCCCCACCACCTAGGGATGCTTCCAGTCTAATATGGTTGATATCCATCACTAAGTTCCAGATAAGAAGTCGCTTAAAGCAATATAGCCAAACAACCCTTTTTGGCCCCGCCCCTCAGCCCCCTGGGGGGTCAGCCCCACCAGTTGTACAATTTTGAATCCCTGCATCCCATTAATTATTTGGTTAAATATGATTGATAGCCAGTGCATAGTTCTACAGAAGAAGTCGTTTATAGCAATCTAGCAAAATTGCCCCCTGTTGGCCCCGCCCTCAGCCCCACCATTTGTACAATTTTGAATCCCTGCATCCCATGAATTATTTGGTTAAATATGATTGATATCCAGTGCATAGTTCTACAGAAGAAGTCGTTTATAGCAATCTAGCCAAATTGCCCCCTTTTTGGCCCCGCCCCTCAGCCCCCTGGGGGGTCAGCCCAACCATTTGTACAATTTTGAATCTCCACCACCTAGGGATGCTTCCAGTTAAATATGGTTGATATCCATCTCTTAGTTCCAGAGAAGAAGTCTCTTAAAGCAATATAGCCAAATTGCCCCCTTTTTGCCCCGCCCCTCAGCCCCCTGGGGGGTCAGCCCCACCATTTGTACAATTTTGATTCCCCACCACCTAAGGATGCTTCCAGTCAAATTTAGTTAAATTCCAATCAGTAGTTAAGAAGAAGAAGTCGTTTAAAGAAATTGTTGACGGACGGATGACGGACACCACGGTATGGCATAAGCTCACCTTGGTCCTTTGGACCAGGTGAGCTAAAAAGGAAGGAGGAATGTAGTAGAACTTGACTGGGTTGATTATTGACGACCAGGAAGCTCAATTTGTAGAGCGTCCGTCTAGAGTTTGGAGGGCCCCAGGTTCAAACCCAGGTCTGGCTGCACTTTCCCTGTTTAAGTATCTTCAGCATTATTTATGAATATTTCCTGAACCCCTACATGGGTGACAATGTAAGTCAATATTTTTCCAAATGCCTTTCCTAGGTGTCGAACCTGTCATAACTATTTATATAATTACAACCAATTCCATATCTGAACACAAGCACAGGAAAGCTACTTATGTCTCGGAGTGAAGGGCATGCTTTTCTTTGATGGAGGAAGCTGTAGTATGCCTTGCTAGCCAAGTCTGTAGGAAGTGACAAATATTCTAGCAAAGTGATATATCTATTGTTTATAATAACAACATTAGCATTTTTGTTGAAGTGGTTTTTTTGTTTACGTTTTAGCAGCGTCTGTAGATAGGCATATATATTTGCATCAATTTTCAACGTGAAATGCATTCAACCAGAAAATACAAAAGAATCTCGTCAATGCAAAACAATCTCGGATAGTCGAAGGAAATCAAAGGCTGTTCGATTGACGGACATGTACAGAAAGGGGACTCGTCGAGTGACTCGAATGCCACGCCTGCTAGATAAGGATTTGCAAAATGCGCTTGATGTGCATTGGTATTTTGGTACCTGTGTTATTAAGCTGAATATAATCAATTACCATGACATATCGACTGTTTCATATTGGGCTTGGACGAGGTGAAATCTTCTGAAAGATGATGTTTACTCATTCTCTGTCCGATTCTTCATCGCCAAAACAATACCGGATATAAAGTTACACCACTAAAATAGAAAGCGACACTGAAGACAAATTCCGGCTAAGTTGAAAATCGGGGCTTTCTAAACGAGTGAGCCATCTTATTTATATTATAAATCAGATTGCCTCTACAGTTGTACACTTTGATTATTTTTCTCTTAAATCATTTTGATTTTATGTTTCTCTTGAAAATGTATTTCCGCTGATATTTAGCGGTCTTGCATTTTCGAAATTCACATTTTTTAAGTCCTACATGAACCTCTTTTCAGATGTTTATCTTTTAATGCTAACTCGATAATAAGGAATTTTAATTATATTTATAAACGACCAAGATTTTTGTAGTTGTGTGATTTTGTAAAAAGGTATTCTTTATCATGTTATAATGAAAGTTAGCTTAGCTTGAACAATATTAACCTTAGAGCTTATGTAAAACCACGGAATTAGATTAGTTATCTACATGAAAGTCCGTGGTAAAACTATTTGCTATTTAATGATAGGCATATATAGAGAGAGAGTGTGTGGAGTGATCGTCATTCCACAGTTTAGGGAATGTTCATATGTTCGAGTACTGATCCTATATTTAGGAAGTACATAAATTGATAATGATATGTTGAGATACAGTGTGGTGTGACATGTAATGGGCGTAGGCATTCACTAAGATAGATATACACCACGCTACAATTCAAATGGATTAAATGGTTTAACCTAATTTAAGTACACTGTAATGAAAATTCTCTTCAGATTGTTTCAGTTAACGATATTGAGTTAAATGTATAGAGCGTTTTTCTCTAAGCCATGATAGCCACTATTCCATTTTTCTGTGTAGTGCACGGTTCATGATACACGGATTTTACTAATTTGAAATTTGAAATTTACCATTACTCCTCTGGGGATTTTATGTAATTTGTATAATTAAGGATGTACACCTCTGAGAAGTCAAAATATTCATGTATTAAACTTTTTGTCTCATATGGATTTTTGGGAAAAGGAGTTAATGGCATAGTAGAAAATGCTAAAAAAATATATGTCCGTGTGTTTGTTTTTGTGCTATGATCGGTCAAAGATTCACACTTTGTGATTTTAGGTGATTTTTTTTGGTTTTGACCATTTGCAGAAAACATTCATACAATTTCTTGTATTGTGTGTTAACAGAGATGTATGAATGTTTGTAGAATAGAAGAAAATATTTTAAGTTACCCCTACCCCTCATTTTTTCACCATTTTTTGCAGAATAAACGCATGATATAAAAAGTTCTGCTATTAAACTTTTTTTAATATTTAATGAATCAAAAGAAAATGCGTTTCTCTTTCTGAAACAGCCATAAAAATGGGGGGGTCCGTGTGGGTTTTTTTTGTCCCATCATTATTTGCGTTATATTTCACCTTTCTCGGAGTCAAAAATCAAAAGAGTTTCAGTTACACTAAATGTGTAAAAAAAATATATATACCAATAATGTATAACTTTCCATTTTGTTGCATATTATTTTTATCATATTGAACATTATAAAGTTGTACAGCAAAATTGAACCTGCTACGATAAAAAATGTCGACACAATGACAATTCAAGTGATCAATCTAGTGCCAAAAATGTGAAATTTTTGCTTTTTGTGAGCCGCAAGAAATACACATTAACCGCCGAATTGGTATTTTTTTTTAAATTCTTGTAAAAAAAGTTCTACAAATGACAGGCATCTAGTTTTTTGACATATTTTTCAGATGCGTGTATGCTATACACTTGATCATAATTTGTTAAATATAACAAAANATTGACGATTGTACTCAGAGTCAGAGTCTAGTAGAAATGTAATTACCTACATAATTATGTACAATTGAACCAGTAGAATCATATAGGTGAAATGCTATTATTTTGAAAGTCTTATTTCAATGTATAATTGATACTTAATTTCATCTCCATTTAATTAATTTTGTGTATGCAATTAAAGAGTTCGAAGACATATATTTTCCTGATGATAATTTTGGAGAAAAAGTAATGTACGTAATATATTTCTTTTTCACCATCTTTCTGAAATTATATTCTTCCACAACAACTATAGGTTCTATTGGATAAACCTGCTAGGAGTTGGTAGACATTTTTGATTAACCACTAGAGGGCAAAATATTGAATGTTATTTCATTTCAATTATCAATTTTCTAATTATGACGTTAAGTAACAATGATTTGCGACGTCAACTTCTATTGTGACAAATTCCTAAGAGATACATTTGGTTTTATAGATATATTTATCTGAACGTTTTGGGAGGAAAGGTCCACCGCAAACCCATGATGGTTGATAGTCATGTTTATCTAACTCCCATTAGTTTAATTTCAAATTATAAAAGACACTCTGTAAACCTCGTGTCTTTATACCAAAAAAGGTTCAGATAACATGACAACAAACCATCACCCGTTTGGGAACCTCTGTGTACATGTATGTAATAAACAGTTAGGTTAGTTCATAAAACACTGAGTATACGTCTGATTAACATAAAGTATTTAAATGAAGAAAGTTATATGATTTCATTACAGTATTCAATAGTCAAAATACAAGTGACTGGTGCAAACTTCAGTGTGATCATTTTGTTCCGCATTTCTGGAGATCACAAAAATTCTAACATTTACGATATCTAATCACAAAGCGATATTAATAATTAATACAACAGTTATTTGTACTAAAAGGAAATTATGGTTACTTGAGTTACCGTATTTCGTACATGGTAGATGTATTCTCTTTCTTATTCTTCTAAGTTTCTTATCTTCCTTCCTTTCCCTTCATTTCCTCTTTGTTCACATATGTATTTTTTGATAAATATATTTGCTGTTGTTGTCATGTAATTTATATAATTAAATGTATTGGAGAAGACGTTTCTAAAGTTGAGATAACTTGTGCCTAATCCTTTTTGTTGAATGACAAATGAAATATGTTTAAATCATGTACATGGCTGATGAAGACAGACAAGGGGAGATAATGCTAAATATATATGTATACATGGTGGTCGACGTCTTCGTAAGCATAGTATTGCTTCTGTTGACGCTTCTTCATATATACATGTATGCATACATCATGAATTCTGGCTGGTGAAAGGGGACATATTCCATTTATTATATAAATATGTCATCAACTGATGTAAATAATCAGAATCATAATTTGTCACTGACATTTTACCTAGCTGTTATTAGAGTGAAAGTCTTATAAAGATGTCACCATGTTGGTTCTAGGTAGCAAATCCTACATCATATCCACCAAATACCCACAAGCCCCGGGCCTGATATGGGTAACAAGAATTTTACACCCTTCGTTACCACAGGGACCTGAGAATTTGTTACAACTATATTTGAACCTAAACTAAGGTGTTCAGAGTCATGTTACATGTTTTATGGGTTTAGATAGTTTTTCGGTAAAAATAACATATTTACATCCCCAATGATCATTTACATATGAACCCCTAAAACATGTAAAATTACTCACAGTTTAGGTCCAAATATAGCTGAAACAAATTGTCAGGTCCCTGTGACGTATATATGATATACGTGTGTTTTAATTGTAGCGCTTTATTCCGACAATAATGATATAGAAGTTAGATCCCATGTGCATAGAATGATAATAAACTTTCATTGTAACTTTTTACATGTTTGTATTAAATGATAACTATGTTATTTAACTTTCACAAATAAAAACACACAAGAAAAACCAAGAACATGTGATGCGTATTGTCAACCGGAAGTTATACCAGAAATAGAACGGATTGTAATTACTGGATATGGCGCGTACCGGACAGATATATAGATCGAACCGAAATCAAAACAAACAAAATCACAGGCAGAACGAGGATATGATAATTTTAATTTGGAATTCCGAGAACACACTGATGTCAATTTGTCATATATTTTGAGTGTGAACTCATGTACATGTAATATGACGTCACGGACTTTCCGATTACAGTATGACATCACAATAGAAACAATAAAAACAGAGCAAAAACAACGGTGTAATTTCGGCATCAAAACAGACTTGGAAAGTGTGCTTTCTCAATACTCTCAGAATCTCGTGTTCACGTGATTAAACGAGTCCTAAATACGAAACTCGTCACGAATTTTCACTTAGTTTGCCAGATTCTCGATAATTTTTTATAAATAAAATATCATATTTCATTAATATCATATGAAATTGAAACTGGAAACTCATTTGTATTTTATTTACATCTATTTTAATCACGTTATCTTATTTTAACTACCCTGTTATGAAGTGTATAATTTCATGTTTCTGTCTGGTACTGACCCATTTTTAAAACATCCCTCGTGACGTCAGTATTAAGTCAATTCAGATATGACGTCATAACAATATGAAACTGTATTTACTTGACAATAGACACGACATGTATGAAGTTCTAATGGCGACTTTTAGCGTCTTTTAAAACTTAAAGATGGTCAGAGAAAGAGCGCAAAAAAGTATTTGGGTTTTCGAGAATATTTTCATACATTATTGGAAATGTAATTAAAGTAATCCTGATCTCATTTCAATTTAATATGATATTTATGAAAGTCGTTCCAAAGATTTTTCTGTGAGCAGACCCTTCTAGAATGAGATATTCTGCCATCATTTCATATTGCAGACAAACAGCTGAAAACTCAGTTCATCAACATTTTAACAGCCTGTACTGATGCGCACGCTGAACACAGTACTCGAGAGAGGGCACTGCAGTATACGAAGATAGCTAGAACTCATTTAAGGATCACTGTTCCACTGAAGGCAACACTTTACAAAATTCCAATGATTGTAGTCTTTCGTAAAACCAGTAGCATTCCCTCAATTTCGTTTTGGAGGTACAAATGTACACCCGTCGACTAGATATCTGTCCAGGGTTCGATTCTTCTTCTTCTTCTTCCGTTTACGGGAAAGACTCCGGTGCCGGAGTGTGAAATATCCCGGAATGACCTTGCCCCGTTGCAACCCTCAAGTCAGAACACCCATTTTCTTTCTTTTTACTTATATCTTCTTAACTTTATTTTCATCGAAGTTCCAGTATTAAGGTATGGTATTACCTTTCAGAAATGATGCATCAAAGCGATAGTCATGCCGTAGCAAAAGTTTCAAATGCATAGTGTTTTTATTTTGGTACAGGGACCCTTAACTCATTCACCCCTGAATACACATTTGAACTTTTCCAACTCAAAGGTTGGAATAGTTCATTATGAAAGTTCAGGGGTGAATGAGTTAAGGTCCTGTATAAATCAAATAAAAGTTTTATGATAATGAACATTTATATATATTCATATGTGTGCACACAGTGGATTAAGGGACTTACATAACATTATGGTACATGTACATGTACAGGAAACGTAAATGCTGCGACATCTTCCGGCCAGATATTAATGCAAAGACCCGTAACTCATTTTTTACCAGTGATCGGCGTTATAATATACTTATGCATTTACACTGTCAATATCTCAAAATACTGGACACACTGTCAATTTGTCTAGAGTTTTAAAAGGAGATAAACATTCATTCACGTTCAAATTGAGGATTTCCCAGACTGAATACTTTGCTGAATTATATCAAGAAACCTGTTCATCACTTTCATTTCTTCGTCATGCCATTCCTTCATACACTTCAAGCGTTTTTCCTCCCTGTCCCGCTGTTCGTCACAGTAACGCTCAAACGTGGCCAATAGATAATCCAACTCCGTCTGTCTTCGTTTCCGTCCTCTTTGAAATCGGGCCGTCTCTGATTCATCCATACGCCCCGAGGAGCTCGGCAGTTCAGGGGATTCCCTGTCATTGTCATCGATGACGTATGTTGGTGGCCGTCGTGTAGGATTGTTGTCATGACTGTTGTTACTCGAATGCTGTGGGTTTACGTTAGGACCGTTGACATTACGATGAGATGGCGCTGGAGGAAACCGTGGGAAATGCTGACGACTGAAGTTTTCTGTTGGTGTTGATACACTAAGTACGGGACTACTCTGGTGCGGAACTGGTACCGGGTCGTGTCTGTTTGCCATGGAAACATGGCTTGCCTTAGACCCAGACACGGCATTTGTAAGTCTGTTCATGTATTGCGCATTTGAATGAATCGTTGATGCATCGTTCTTCATGACCGGAAATGCTGGATGAGGCGCGTGCATGACGCTCCCTCTATCGGGAGGAGGTATAGGTCTATTATGATGAGAAGAGGATGTGTCGATTACATCCTCTTTGTTACTCGGATTTTCTTTGTAAAAGGCAGTTGCCTCTGCCGATGCTTGAAATTTGAAAATACTGTCAAGCTGATCATAGAATGCACACCGTTTTTGATTGCCTGTTTGTAAATTATGGTCCACTGTGTATCTATAAGTTGTCTTTAAATTTAAGAATTTCCGTTCACATTTGTCAGAGTCGAACATGTGCCCAGCTTCATTCAATCTTTCGGATATTTTTCGCCACAAGAGTTTTTTCTTAATGTGAGGACTGTTGAACTTATCCTCATTTTGCATATACAGGTCTAACAAAAGACCTGTCGCGGGTGCCGTCCACTTACTGTCGCCAACGATCACAAGAGGGCGGTCAAACGAATCGTCATAGGAGGAAACCATCGGATGTTGAGTTTCCGGTTGCGCATGCGTCATAGTGGCGTTCGAAGAATTATCCGTGTAGTAGGTCCGTGGCCTCTTAGCGGGATAATAATTAAGGTCTGTCGAAACTGCGTCTGAAAAATACAGAAAATCTTGCAGAACATAGAAAAGTCCTTTTTTGTCAAAATGAACCGTTAGAAAAAACTGACAAATATTAATCAGAACGTTGCAGACACGCACACATTCTACATAAGCTCTCCCGTGTCGGCTCCAGAGGGTATACGGAACAAAACAGAACGAAGAGAATACGGGGCGGGTCAGCATAGAAGGCAGTCATCAATATGAGAGTAACAGGATCACTTTTCCATTGCAGAGCATATTTTGGAGAATTCCACGACTTACAGTTACTAGCACCCCTTTACTTTTGTTTTGGAATATTATTGTTGCTCGACTGGACCAAGTAACTACCTTTAACCAGGTTAATATTTTGAAACTTTATTTAATCAGGGACGTATATATACTGTCCCTGATTTAATTTACAATAATTATGGAACAAGTTATTTCAACTTATATTAATCGTTCTTGTTTGCTCGGAAATTACCGGGTCTTTATGTGGGAGGAAACCGGAGTACCAGGAGAAAACCAACGTGGTCGGGCAGGTGTCCCCATACCTATTCACGTCCAATCGGGGAATCGACCCCCGGTCGTCTTGGTAAAAGGCGAGTTGGTTATCCATGCGCCACCCGACCACCCCGGGTTCTTTCGTAACTCAGCTGGGTATAGTGAAAGTATAATTATCGGATGTTTAGGGTTCCTCGACCTCCCCCGTCGTGGTTTCACACTCAGAAAACCGGGGATGGGGATTTTATTTTCCATCTTTTATTTAGTCACCCTGTCAAATTTACGAACGTACAATTTACTTACCATTACTCTCCTCCCCTGATATGATTTCTGTCTTGACAAACACTGGCTCTGAAAAGAAAAAATATATATTTAAAGGTATATACGTACATTTACGTATATTGTGTACTACCTCTATACTCTTTAGAAATTATGTAAATGTATTTCTACAAATAATGAAGAAAGTTTCTTTTATTAGAACTTTGATAATGATTTTCTCTTATTCGTGCTCTTTTTCTTCTAACTTTTTTTCATATGACCTTATGTCATCCTTTAAAAAAGTATGTAGTTTCCCGCCCTTCTCACTAAAATGGCGCCTACTCAAACTTATGACGTCAGGCAATTTGATTAAAATCATCTGTTACATGGCTTCGTTAGCTTCGTACTACGACTGAACAGGCGGAGCGATGTAACAGATGATTTTATTCAGATTGGACGTCAATGCAAGTGACAATTCTTTGCGACGTCATCTTCCATTGTGACGTCATAGCTCATGGGAACTAATTGATTCCTCGATAAGAAACAGGAATAATGTATTCCCAGGAGAACTTGTCGATAGTTTATTATCAAGTTTATCTTACTCTCGTTAGTTAATTTTTAAACTGTAATATCGAATGTCTTTTACAATTTGAAAATAAACTTACGAGAGTTAGATAAACTTGATAACCAATCACCACTCATCGGGAAACTTTTTATTTCAAAGTCTTGTGGCGGTATTTTTTTTATCTAGCATTATTTTTAATACATATCATTTTTTTACAATGCTATCAACTACAGTATAACTTAAAATCACTTCGACGTTAAATTGATACCAACATATAACATATTGTTGTTCAATACGAACTATTTATATATCTTCTTATAGCAAAATACATAGTTATTTTTCTACAGCAAAATACATACATTTATTCTGTTATAGCAAAACATATTCGGTTGTGTAAGCAAAATCAGAGACATATATGTATATGATATTATATACGCGTCATATGTACAGGCTAGGGGCCCCATTGGAAAGTATAGCTTTGACTGACATCAAGTTTCCAAACTGCCTATATACTGTAGTGAACTGTTATATTATACCAGCTTTTTTGTTTGTGTATGCCTCAGTGATTTGATCATAATTCATAAATATAGGTTCTAGCAAAATACAAATTGATATTTATATACAGTATATCTCTGCAGTGACGTATATATATTACATATAAATACGTCTCTGATCTCCGAGTGTCGCATGCTCTTATAAGTCAAAATACAAAAAAAAATACTACGTGCAAACGGTCACGCTATATTTAAGTACATGTCCTTCATAACATGAGTTAGTGAGAAAATTGCAGTCTATGAGCGCTTCAATGTGTATAGAATGTCTAGGTAACAGATCTAGAAGTTCATGTTGCAATGCTAGACTGTACATCATCAGTACACGTACGTACACGATCGATTGATACGTATACGTACACGTACACGTCCGTAACATTAGGGGAAGCTTGGTATGTACAGTATTGACTAATGCTATTTAATCAAGACTTGCAAGAACCACCAAACATGTTCGTTAAGGGAACACGGCTATGATCGGCTTGTATATTATAGTGTGGTAGCTAGTCTCTCCATTATGTAAACAAACTCCCTTTGTACTGGCGGCCTACACGCGTATGCCACCATATCATTAACACAATGTAGGTCAACAGCTACGGTCGATACTCGTACACATGTATATAAACAATGGACGCTTTATCGCGGTGCGCTAGAACTCTACAAAACATGGAAATATATATCTACTGGTTGATCAAACCCCCCAAAACACATGGAATATTAAATGGAAGCTCGTGTTTTATGGTGAAACAACACGCTCAAACAGTACAATGCGTCTCGTCGTCATTGATTCTCCCTCGGGGAGCCCCATATAGAATAGTTATGCTTGAGCCTTAGGCAGCTATCATGATTCACAATGATTGTTTCATTTTTCGTGTAAAAACACGACATTGACACATGTTTAACGCTAGGTATTGACACAAATCTGTCTTACCGTCGCTCCCGTCAAATCCACAACCATCGCCTGTTGTTTTCCCCGATGAAGTCGCTAAACCGACGTCCTGCAGCGATCGACTGTTTAGTTCCGAGTCCGCCATGTTGTATGCCCAGGTCGACAGCGATTTGTCAATCATGTTTATGATTACAAGTCGATTTGGGGCTCATGCAGGGTAATCGTAGACATGATTAATGGATATTTAAGTAGGTAGCTACCATGGAATGCGAGAAATTACAATCTGTGACTATGTGCTCTGATGTACGGTTGATGTATACTCCGATAAATGATCTATACGATACACATACCGTGTTACGTATACCTTGGTATAAATCATTACGTCCGCTTCATTACGGAGTATTTCGGTTATCCAGCAGACTTTTGTATAAACAACATAAGCAGTATAACTAAACTGTACAGCAGAAGTTCATAATGCATGTCAACTATTACGAAATTTAAATTTAGAGATGCTGTTTTTATAAACAACTGTGCATTCATGTGTGTCATACATTAATTTCTATTTGAAACTTCGATCATTCAGAGCATGGCTGGACGGTATTTTAGTGACAAGAGCATCGGGTTTCATTGGCAGCTGTACATGTCATATGTGTGATAAATGTATATGAAAGCGAGTTAAATATATAAATACGAATTTGTGATCAACCTGCAAGGTGCCCTTAGCAATATATATAACAGCTAAAAATTAATGTACAAGATAGATATATTTAAGGATTAACTTGAATATATTTTTATGTAATGGAGCTATAACACAAAAAACGGAGTGTACTCTAAATAACCGCGAAGCGGTTTATGGTGAGAGTTCACTTCGAATTTTTGTGTTATAGTTCCATAACATAAAAAAAAAAATATTCAAGTCAATCCTTATAATTTAGTCTACTCTACACAATCCCTGTGAAAATCCACTTTTATTGATGGACTCTTTTCTCTTAGAAATTGTTACGCCGCTGTATCAGCTAATCAAAAGCGATGTTACAAACGGCGACGTCATTTTTTACGTTATGGGCTGATAACATATTTTTTTAAGCCAATCAAAATGCTTGTTACCAGCAAGATTAAATTTTTTAGAAATTCAAATCTGTAATTTCCTGAGTATCTCAGACCCATATCCATCATTCTAAGTATGTCTGTATTTTGGAATCCTGGGTTTAGCTCATAAGCTGGTTAATCACAAACTCTGTGAAAGAAAAATGAACAGCTGTTTTCATTATGTTACTAATTCATTCAATGGATTTATTGTTTTAATATATACATTTGATAAGTTAATAGGAAAAGCATGTGTACATCTTCTCCACCGAGGACCGGTATTACAGCATGTATACAATGGCTACAAAATAAATATATATGCATAAAAGGCAATTGAAGGGGTAGTTACATTATAGACAATCATTATATTGATTGAATAGGAACAACATACCTATAAGCCTATACTTATTTAGTATAAGATATCTGTCTTTTTTTCAAGTTAAGATTTACTTTACTGGACCGTTTTACATACAGTTTATACAGTATAGCTACACAAAGACACAGTATGATACATTGTATGTAAGCTGTAGTGTAAAACAGTCACGGTATTATATTTCATACCATATTGTCAAGATTCTCGTTTTTAGAGTACAGTTACATGTACACAGTACATATTTCTGGATAGTGTTTCGAAATATTCAGGCAGGCTGGATTCACCTCCCCTTATTCATTAATTATTTCACAAGAAAATAAGAAATAAAGTTGTTATCGCTTCCCTTCGTATTCGATAAGGCGACAGCTGAGTATATAAAATTCGAGTTGTCTCCCGTTGAACGAGTGGCGTCAGACAGCTGCGCTGTCTCTCACTGGGACCGGGGCTGAGCAGGACCGGGGCTGAGCAGGACCGGGGCTGGTGAGGACCGTCAAGATAGGATAACTCGTCCGGACTTGGAGCATGATATAACTGTTGGATATCTTATAACTACATTTTATAGTGTATACGGTCCTCATCTGGGACATTCTTATCGGGAAATAGCGTGGATATTTTTCATTTATACATTTATAAACTAAAGGAAGATAATGTTCACTGAATATGGTCATTTAAATGGTTGTATTAATTGAGGAAATAGAACCACGACTAATAAGAATGGTTATATGCCGTATAGTTTATAACTTAAGCTGTGAGCGTTAACGGTCCTGAGCAGGGACATCCTGATCAGGAAATCTAGTACTAATTATATCCGTATTGATGGATCAAATACATGAAGGTGGCAGTGTTTACAGTCAAAGAGAGGAATNGATTTTTATCTCAATTTACAGTCAGAATTTCAAACACTTGTGATTGGATACTTGATATCAAAGTTTTACTTTCTACACAACGTATTAAAGGTGTCGCAACCTTCCAAGACCGACTTGTCCCTTTGTCAAGCTATGACAGCACCAATATCAGTTCTGTATTTCAGACATGCATTTGTAACGAACCCCTGTGTGCAGGGTTAACATTTTGCCAGTTACCAAATACTTGTGGGATTTCGTTATGGTTGATATCTAGCTCATGGGGTTATAGTTCAAAATAGGGTATTATATTCCAGACTTGTAAATATTCTGCTCCACATATGGAATTGTGGAAGAGATCAGTCACAAATGTCGAAGAGATCATTTATAAGCCCCTAATTCTCCAAAGTCACAAATGATATTATAGAGGTTGGTGAGACGCCAGTTTGTGTTTCCAGTTGAATGTAGTCAACGGGCCAAAAGAAATTATATCAGGGGTCAAAGTTCACAGAGGGCAATTTAATGTAATGGTCTTCAACAGCCTGCCTAACTATCAAGCAAATTTCTACCAAACTTGGTACAAATGAACTTTTCATAACCGTTGCTGAAGCGGTACGAAAAATAACGATATGGTCGCAATAGCCTCGGATTTGCTGACACATTTTAGAATTCCTTTCGGGACTTTAGAAATAGTCAAACTGCGTATATGTAAACTTGGGTGCAAACATGAGAATTCACATAAACTTATTATTGGTACTGAATGCAAATGATTAAAGAAATAAACATTGTCTACAGAATAAACATAACGAAATTATGATGCTTAAATAATTGTTTATAACACGTATGTCAGTCTGTCACCAAAAAGGATGTCTGTTGCGTGGGAAGATACGCTATTTAATGTTATCAAATACTCTATTTCTCTTTAAACATTTTAAGGGTCCCAGCCCTTCTACAAGGAATACACTGGAGAATACCACTCTGGATTTTGTATTTCCTTAATTTCGTTTTGGATATAGCTGCATGCATACGTAAGACGGATGTGCCAGGTAACTACCATTGATACAGTAGCTAAGTTGGTTAGAGTGACAATATCAAGATTGGAGGCACATGGAGTATAGTCTGGTCTTGTTCTTTTGCATTTGAATTGTTTGGGGGGTTTTCACCTTTTTTTTTAAATTCATTTTTTATGAAGTAACTGTTTTCTTTTCAGAAATATTTTACTTGAATCATTCGTCTAGATATTAAATCTTCCTTTCATAGTTACCTTTGTTGGCAGTAGAGTGAGGATCCTGAAAAATGTCTATCATTAATCGAGTGTATTTGTTAAAACTGACTTATCTAGCTTGAGGTTTGTATCATCTGCCTAGTGAACTTGTCTATTTACATTGTTAACGGAAATACCAATGTTTCTATCTGCTAGCTGACTTTTTGACCTACTCGAGATAAGAGACAAGTGCAAGGTAAAGATAAAAATTTCGCCTGTGTGTTGTACACACTGGCCATGCCCGACTTAATTACGTAAGATGCGTTCGGTGTACGACATGTATGCAGTCGTTGTGCTGATTGTGTGTTTGTCCAGCGTAAACGGACAATCCCACATTGGTGCTTCAGACTCAGAGATCCATGACCCACAATGGCGTGACCTGGTCAACCAGAAAATTGGTCAACTGGAGCGTCAAATGACCTTGAAAGATGTAATCATCAACCAACTTGAAAGTAAGATTCAAAACCAGAACGCTGATATGATGCAATTAAAACAGAAAATGGCTTCCCTTGAACAGTTAGTGCTTCGCAAAGATACTGCTGTAAGCAATCTTGCAAAACAGATAGCAGATTTGGGGAAACGTGGATCTGTGGACAAAATTCGCGCTTTGGATATTTCACCTCTCGCCGGAAATACGTCACGGAGCCTCGCACAAGTTTCCGGTAATTTCACTACCTCGGTAAACAGCACGTCATTCCTGGATTACCAGAATGAAGTCCTGAGTGAACCCAATACAAATTTGTCCGGTGCCGGGAACGAAAACCACTCCCAATCCCCTACTGGACCTTATCGAGTGGTGCAGACATCGAGACAAAACCGTAAGTTTGTTTTAAGATTTTGATAGCATTTACGATAAATTCACTGTTTATTCCTATGGCAAATATATTGATAGATTCGTACATGTAATTCAATAAATTCGCCAGATTTTTTTTGGAGACGATCGCGTATTTAGTCACAATGACAATATATTTATTGTGAGCGCTTTCTGTTTTAGGGGTATCTGCTGTTCCGTCTACTCATCCTATTGTCTTCCATGCCTCCGTCTCCTCAACTGTAAACCACGGAACCCTAACTACAGTTGTATTTGACCGAGAGATTCTTGACCAGGGCAACGGATATAGTCCCACTGAAGGAATCTACATTGTGCCACAGTCGGGTACATACGTAATCACATGGACAATCCTTTGTGACCTTCACAGTGCTTTCCAGACAAATTTGATCGTAAACGGAAAAGTGAGAGGGTCTTCATTTACGGATGCAGATGAAATCAACGATTGGCACCAAACATCACAACTCGTTGCCTTAGAATTAAGCCAGGGAGATCGTGTATTTATTCAAGTTGGTAATGTGTTCCGTGGAGGTGACGCGAAAATAAAGAGTGACAATACATTATCACACCCAACATTTTCAGGTTGGAAGATTTCTTAATTAAACAATAAAAATTCAAACAAAACATTGTAAACTGTCAATATTTTGATATGTTTAAATCATGGTACATTCAGCAAACAATAAGCAAAATAGCATCCATTGGGTTTTACTTATTTATTTATTTATTCGAATGAGCAAGCATGCATACGAAGAAAAACGTCGATACGAAAAGAGAGACAAAAACAAAACAATAACAAACAAAATCTAATAAACCCGTCGAAACAGGTGCGCGGGGAGGTTGATTTTATGTAAGCTATAGCAATTGCCATGGTATTTCCTGTCTATCCCCAGGGCAATAAATCGACTATCAGAAATCCAAGGCGTAGACGATATGTACTTAATCAAAGTAGACACTTACATCAAGCCATCAATCCTGTAACTTAAAAAATAAAAATGCATACACAGTCTATGCAGAACATATCAGCAAAGTCCGTAACTCGTTGGTCAACAGGATTAATTAGGTAGATAACACACCTCAAAGCTATGACTTCTAACTATATTATAAGTGGAGACGTGTATTGTTAAATCGTTGAAATATTTCACGTCATCAATTACCACCATCCATCTCATTTGTGGGGTAGTTCGCACTCTCCCGAACAGATGCATAAACATCATAACTGATCAGTTAGACAGAGATATATAGACATGTAAGAGGCCCTGCCAACATGTGGATATCCCGAATGATCGATAAGGAAAGTAGAAAAAAAAGCGAATTGAAAATATTGGTGAATTGTCTCTATTTATTTACTGACTGGGCACATCTTCTTTTTCTAAATGGAATGAACACTTTTAAAAAGAACCAACACCAGAGGAATGTGAACACTGTTCGGTTTCTATTCATATTGTACATACTGCTCTCCAATGATGCATACAAACACATATCTGCAACAAAGGACACCTACAAATATTCATTCTTTCCACACACAATAACACAATGGAATCTCCTTCCCATAGCAGCAATACAATGCAGTACAATGAACAACACTAGAGGACTTCAAGGCACATTTACCCTATGCAGCCCTTGAAGTCCTCATCACACGCTAAAATATACGCCAATTTTAATTTTTTATCTATACCTTGCAGAAAAAATCACAAAAAACCCAGCTTATCACTGTAAATAACCCCCTTTTTCACGCCTCTGTGTTAGGACCCCCGAGGATATAAACATCACAATTGATGGGAGCCCATGTAACATAAGAAGACGAGACCTCAACCCTTGGCCCAATCTAATTATAATATATCTTCACATCGCTCCCGTTTACTGATATGTCGCGTTGAAGATCTAACAACATCCCGTAGAGGGTCATGTTCAGGCGACCTTTGCATTAACCAATCAGATGAGAGCTTACGCATTTCTGTAAGTGATGATGTAATGATTTCGGAACACACTTGCTATGATAAAAGACCGAGAGGTGTCAAATGAGCATCGAAAATGGCGGCGCCCATGACACGCCGTGTCTATCTACAAAACAACGTTTGTACAATTTGTGGGTTTTGCTTTAAAATAAGAGAGACTTCCTCTTCTGGTGATGTTGTCATTTAAAAGTTTAACAACCTGAAACTAAAATTAACCAATGACAGGCTTCGCAATATTCAAACAATCACTGAACCAGACGAAAAAGTGGATTTTGGGCTACGAGGTGTCTGCATTAAATGCTACAGGTCCTGCTTTCTGATTGGTTTAAAGAAAGAGTTATGTCGCGTTTTGATTGGCTTGTTATAAATACGATAATGCATTCATGTTGACCTCTGACGTGACCCTCTACGGGATGTTGTTAGATCTTCAACGCGACATATCAGTAAACGGGAGCGATGTGAAGATATAATTTTAATTAGATTGCCCTTGGCCAGACAATAGGGTTTGCCAGGTGTGTAGTGTGAACACTCACTCAAGCGAGACTGTTAAACGTATTACCTTTCCGGCAGTCTTTCACTCTACATGTCTGAGTACATGTCAGTCAACTCCGAACAATTTTGAATGGATGTGTGACGGAGGTGTTGAACATTTTTCTACTTTTTATGACTTTTATCAATCTACTGACAGTTTTATTAAAAATCTTCCAAAAAGCCTGACTGTAGGTTATTTGAATGTGAGAGGCCTACTTGGTAAGGTTGATCAGATCAAAATACTTTTGAGGAACCATGCATTTGATGTGCCTTCTGTGTCTGAAAGTCATCTGGACAATACAATTGATGATGCTGAAATATCTGTTCCCGGATACAATGTTATCCGTAAAGACCGTAACCGGCTAAAATACGATTAGTCATGATGTAAATAGAATTTGCTTCAAGATATCAATTTACCCGGGTGTAGGGCTCGAGGGTACATGATCAATATATGAGAAGAAAGAACTCATGTTTCCAAAATACAGAGACAAAACACATACATTTTAAGAAGTAAATAGACCTTTTATATATCAATAACTTCTAACAGTGAAATGCGATAGTATATTTGGACGTCATGTGACACATACACGGAACGAACATAACCATTTCTAAACTGTATCAGCATTACAAATTGTACCGTATGATGTACTGCTTCAATTGTGTTATAAGACGGATATAACTATGGTGCTGCATGAAACAATGTTCAATAAAACCAAAATGAGAAACTCAATTGTTAACAAAAGTAGTATCTACCGGAAGTATCCTCACGTGGAGTAGTTGTCAACGTAAATATAACTCTTTTGCACAAACAAAAGACAAAATACATAATTTATGTCTACGAAAAAGGATACAATGTAGCAATAACCTAACAAAAACTTGATTAACACGAAAATAAATTAAACACAATGTAGCGTGCCCTCGACGACCTGTTCATAAAATTAATATCATGTTGCTTCATCATCAACAGTAATAGTAAAATTGGCAATTGCCGACAATGGTATGTGATGAAAATTTGAATAATTGTTCATTTACGTTCACGATTATTGATAACAACCATGTCTGTCAATAAATCAAACTGTTTATAATACGGAATGATTGGCACCTACTGCCATGCTGTGATGTAAGAAGTCAGCACAAAATGAAAATCAAATAGAATTTTCGTTCTGGCAGCTTACATAGTGTACATGGGTTTCAACCTCACTAAATGTATTTGTATATGATATTATTTATGAGAGGATCATAAAGAATACAACAATCTTTTGTGGTCCTGATCAATGTTACATATACAACATTTCCGGTAATTAAGGATCATTCCCATGAATGCTAGAGATAATGTATACCGCGAACTTTTCACCCAGTCAAACTTTCGCCCATGTTCTCATAGTTTTGATTGTCTATAATGGTGTTTACTAATATTCAATGTAATAAGAAATTCGCCCTCGCCCTTCGAGAAAGGCAAACATTAAAATGCAATATAGTTATTTAGCATACAACCCATTTCTAAATGCTCATCTAAAGTAAACAAGTTTATATTGTGCATGAAAAATTAAGAAATGTACATTAAGAGGATATACCACATATCTATTTACTTCCAATACAAGAGTTTAACATTAATCTGTGGTTTGTTGAATTTGTTCAAATATTATTATTCGACAAACAAGCATGTGTACTTCTTTGGTGTGGTAACTATGTACATGATAATAATACCAATATCTTCAAAACATAGTTATGAAGATTATGATTTCACTCGTATTGATTATCAGTTAACTAGTACTGATTATGGATTTACTGGGATTCATTATGAATTGCACTAAAAACCTCGCGTGAGGAGACTAATTAATCATGTTATAGATTTCACAGAAATACATTTAAACATTTTATCAAGCTAACTGATAGCGTACGCAATACCAAGAGCAAGCGAGAAAGCAGCTGTTGCTATAAGTACAGTAAAAAGAAATAATCTCAAAAAGATCTTATCCAAACGCACTGCGATCTCTATCCACGTGTAAGGGGTATCCGATTTATCATTGTTGTCTTTGAAGGCAAACACTGCGGTCATATTATTATTCTGGGATGTTTCGTCGTTTGGCTGTAGTTTAGGTGTCTCGAGACTTTCAATGTTGTTTGTTCGTCGATCAGGTGAGCAACTGCAGCGAGAGTTATTTTTCACTTCCTGGCAGGTAAGTATCGACAGAAAGTTTATCGTGTTTTTAATCCATTTTGGAATTTCTTTTTCTGGGTCGGTGTGGTGACACTCTAGCACAATAATGGTTAACAACACAGATACCATACCCAAGGCAAGGATAAACACCAGGTACACAGCTGAAACAAACAATAAACGTAGTATAGGGTTCATATGTGCAAAAAATATATACAATATAATAAAATATACTGATATAATAAAATATATTAATATAATATAATTGTTAAGATTTAATCAAGATCATGTTATTTTAAACTTGTGTCAAATGCCGAGTAGACGTCTATAAGTATATGTTGTTATAACTTGTGCCTGATCCGATTGCTGTTTTAAAATGCAATAAAAACATTTTTTTTTATCGAAATAGGCAAACTATAGCTGGTATCATATTTTCATCACGTACAATGGTGAGATTATTATGGATATAAGTAACTTAAGAAATGTAATGGAATCATTAGTTACAAGGACGCGAATACACAACATAAATTATTATTTATGTAACATTGTTGATAATATATTATCATTGCAGAAGATATGGATATAGGTACATTTTGCAATAATATTGTCATTCTGTAAAAGGTGAAAAGAAAAAGTGCCATTATTATATGTATAGGTCATTAATCTTTAATTTCAAGAGGTTTTTTTTTATAGGATTGTATAATAGGGTGGTACAACAGATGGGTTAACGTGTATCATGCCTTTAATTTACGATGTAAACTGGAAAGAGTCAAGTTAAAAAACTATACCGACAGCATGTTTCAAAAAAAGGACCAGTATTTTTGCCGTTAGTACTTGGCGTTGAGAAGTTCAGGGATGTTATTTAATATTGATGAGGAATTAGAAACGATATGTGTGCTATCATAGACATGTTTAGTGCGCAGTTGCGCTGATATTTAATGTTAATTTTGCGCAAGAGATCGCTGAGTAGCCCTTCGTCAAATGTAGTGACGGTCGCAAATGTGGAATCACACAGCTATTTCAACGACCGTTAGGTATATTTTCGTCACACATGGTCGTTAAAATGTATCAA